ACCTCCACAGGGATGTGCTCTCAGAAGAAATGTCCTAACAAATTCTTATGCCAGCCAGCATCTTAGTGCAAGGGTTTCAAATGGACGAAGAAAGATCTACAGTAAAGATTGCTAATTGGGTACAGTAGTGTCCAAATCTCTTCCTTCAGTGAGTCTTAATAAAGGATTACATGGTAAATTATCAAAGATTGTAAGAGTAAAACAGCTTAGACTAGAGGTATGTATAGAGAAATAATCAGCACCTGTTCAAAAACCAGGCCAGGGAAGTTAGTTAGAACCCAGATTACTGTAATCTATCAAATTCAGGCTTTGCAAAGATCATGCTTGAGCAGTGATGTTTGCACATGTATGTTCTGTAGCCTGTGACTAATTATGATTCTACCTGTGTTGTACTTGGCAAGGAGACAACATTTGTTCAAGGGGACTTTTGCCAGCCGTGCTGGTGAAAGTGCTTTTCAATAAGATTCCAATTAAATGTTTTGTTAATATTTATTATTCACTGGTGGCAGTTGCTGGTAACACACATTTGCCCAGGGGAGGTTAAATGAAGCACAGCAGAGTTTTACTTGCTGGCGAAGGGTAGCAAATGATTCTTTGATTGTATGCGCACTGCCTGGTATGTAAATTGCTGAGCAGTAAAGTCTACATGGAAACTCTCAAAATGGAACACAAACTTGTGCGAGGGACCTGAAGGCTGTGTGGCACTGTGGGTACACAGATTCAATTGTGTCCCACAAGCCCAGGGGACAGATGGAGTTGAAGCGTCTCCCACATCCATCTGTCACACTATCTCCTACCCCCAGTTATCAGAGTTGATCATATCCAAGCATTGTTTTCAGTCATGAACTTTTGAACTAGTAATTTCCATCAGCCAAACTCCACTTGAGTTACCACAGCAGCACATTTTTAGTAAAGTGGTGGTTGTCCATTTTCATTAATATCTCTGTACATAGGCATTGTATGCTTGGAGCTATCTCCCCTCTTTGTTTTCTGGAGTAAAGGTGAGAGAAGGGCAAGGCAAAGGTAAAGGCTTCCAAATATACGAAGTTTGGCAATTCCAGTCATTGAACCAAATTCCTGAAGTGCTGACCTTAGCACCTCTTTTTCATCGTCACATCAGATTTCAAGGATATAATCTATGTATTTCTACCAAAGCCAAAGTTTTGGCCCCCAACTCAGACCTTTTGGTTTATACCAAAAAACTGTGCAACTACCACAGTCGGGGCTTTTTGAGCAATCAGTGCATCTGTTGTGCATTTGTATTAACCTCTTCTAATGTACTGTGGTACTGCTTCTTATGCTATGCTGGCTGAAAATAACTCCAGGGGAATTAAGCTAGGATGAAGCTGTTGCAAAGACAAGAAGAATTATTGCGATTTTCATGTGCATATGAGCATTTATGAATGATTATCAATTCTGAACCATGTTTTTCTTCCCCGGGATTTAAGAAGAGAGCTTAATGAGATGAATTGCTATCCTCAAGGTGCTCAAAACTTGTATTTTAAGGCAAAATAGGCAGATATTTGGTGTTTTAAAAAGTCAGAATTACTAGGAGGTAGTTCACAAGACCTCCAACTTATTTTTTTCATAAAGCTTTGCTATGCTTCACATTGCTTTTGAGTGCTTTTTGAAGTAAGATTCTTGGCTGAGAATGTTTCTTCTGCTCCATATTAGTAACCAAACCATCTTGGCTCTGCAGACTAAATGAGCTCCATAGTTGGTGCACACTGATATCTTTTTACTTAGTCATATCAAACTTAATTGATTGGGCTTATTTATGTGCATGGGGACGTCGTTCATATGATTAAAAACTGGTGATATTGGTGTGCTCACTGATACTCATTTACTGTCATTCAATTAATAAACATCTTTTTTTCTTTTTTTTCTTTCTTTTTTTTTTTTTTTTTGCCTGGATTTAAATAATTTTTAGACTATCTGACCTTGGTTATAATGAAGTTCTCTAATGTTTGGACTAAAGCAAAATAGCATTTGACTTTGTAAAGCTTGAGAAAGTGATTCAGCTTCCAGCTTTTAGGGCTCACTCCTGCTTGTGATTGTTGAGGAACCTCAGAGGCACTTATGGGTTTGGTTGATCAATCTGACAGAAGTTGGCATGGGAGGGAAAGCGAGTTATTGGATCAGTTGAACCTGGCTTTAAATTTTGGGTTCAGTTCACACCACAGAACTTGTCTTAAAGGCGGACTTTTACCAGATGCTTTATAAAGTAGATCTGTAATTCTCTCCATGTATCAGGGCAAGGCCGGCATGCACTTGGCCTCTTGCCTTTGCACAACATATTACAGTGGTTGGGATAGAAATGAGAACATCATTTGCTGAGGTGGCACATGTTTTCACTAATCTGTCATCTTGCACCTTATAATAGGATAGATAGCAGCTTCAGGATTGAGCCTCATATACAGGGGGTAGGAGCAGTGAAAATTAATTTTTTTTTTCCATTATCTTGAATGCTAACCCATCTGTCAGATAATGTGCAGAACATTGCTTGTTGTGTTTTTCTATGGAGAAACTAATTAAAAGATTATAGCTTCTGTGTTTAATAGTCATTCAAAACGCATTGGTGACACTGCTTGCCATTCAAATTTCATCATGTTGAGTGCAGCAAAGGGAAAGCATGCTGGCACTTCCCTCTTCTGGATTCGTTTCCTCTCATTCACTCTCTAATCTGATCTCCCAGGGTATCACGTGAGTGCCTCTGTTTGTTAATGAATGCCCAAAGTTAAATGAAACCCGGCGTCCAGCAGTGAGCAGGTTTACTTTGTGCAAGGACCCACTGGCAGACAACTGGTTTGATGTCCAACAGAGAACTGACTTCTTCAATTGTGTGTAATAATAATAAAAAAAAACCTTTGGCATACTTTGGAGCTAGAAACTCTTCTGTGATATTTGTAAATAAAAGCTCTTAATAATGGTGCAGAGAAGCAATTACTGTTAACTGCATCCCTCACTGTCCAGCTGGGATGGGAGTTTCCACTGCCAGCAACTAAGGCTAATCTCTCCAAACCCAGCATCCCTCTATTTGAGATCCTGTCTTCTGCTGTTGCTGCTGAGACTTTGGTTAGACATGTGCTGTGTCGCAGTTCTATCAAAATCTTGCTCTGCCCTAAAATCAAGACGTTTAAATAGCACTTGGCATCTTTAGAGAAGAATTTTGCTTTAAATAATAGCTCAGCTGTGATTTGCAATTAGAAGTGAAGGAGTGGACTGCTTCTCTCAGTTCTGCTATCATGACTTAAACTACAGTTTCCAATTTTAGAATTGCTAAATTCAGTGCATTTTGAAATGCGAGGAACAAAATATTTTGCCAAAGAATTGGGAGCAAAAAGTAATTTGGGTATTTGAATCTTCTCTAATATGTATGTACATATATACATGTATGTGTATATATACATACATACGAAGCTTAGGAAAGTAGGAAATACCAATGATGTGGCTTTTACCGTGTTTGCAGTTTACCATCTAGCTGGCTGGGTTATAGGACTGACTTTGGGAACAGAACCAGGACAGTGCAAGGACCTTGAACCCCTCCTGTGCTTCCAGTGAAGTTTAAAAGGGTCAGCTTCAGCTCCTAAAGTGCAGAGCTGAGGTGGTAAAGAACACTGTCAGTCACGGTTACCATTTTCTGTCTCCCATTGTATAGGCAGGGTGAGCTGAATACCTGCTGAATACCTTGGGAGTCTGAGTGACTTAGATGCATCTTCTCAGCCATGAGGAACGACACCCATCAGCTGTTCAAGAAAGTAGTCCAAGACCTACAAAAAACCCAGGCAGATCCTCTGTGTGATATTGCACAAAAACATACATCTAAAAGTGGCAGATTATGAGGATTTACTTACAGTCCAAGTGAAGATTATCCCCAGCAGAGATTAAGTGTGCCGGTGAGGCATCACACAAACTGCTTTGCTTTGTCTCCTTGTTATTAACGCTTCATCACCAAAGGCCAAAGCAGCCGCATGAGATGACAGCACTGCATGTGGAGTGCTATCTATTTGCAAGATCTGTGAAGTAAAGAGGAGTTGATATTTTATCTTCCATCCCTAAGTGTGTCTGTTGAATTACACTTTGCTGCCTGGCTGGCAAACAAACCATTGGTTCCGAACTATTCTTTCTAGCAAATAGCTGCAAAACATGAGAGGTCCAACAGCTCAAAATTGTCCATTTCTTGTTGATTTTCACAAGAGGGCAGAAGTAGGAAATCTCCACTGCTCTTTAAGTGCTGTGTTCTTCACACTGCAGTCATTTTATACGTTTTCACCTCTGTTCCTCTGCATACATAGAGCAGCTTATTGACATTAACCAGTTGGGAGCAAAGACTTGGGAAGTCCATTATTGAAATGAATGCTTAGTATGTGATTTCTAATTCTCTTAAAAAAAGTTTTCAAGTTTTCACATTTATTTCTACTTTGTTTATACTCTGCAGAAAGAAACTGTCATTGTCCAGCACTGTCACATGTATGGGGTGCTTAGGAGACCTACCAGAACTAAAATATGAGTCATAACACTGACTTCAGGCGTTAGGTACAGTATTTCTCTTACTGCAATTATATTATATCATAACTTCTGTGTTTTCTGCTGCTTGACAAATAGTGAAATGATCACAGACCACCCTTTGGTGCCACTTTGGGCACAGCCCCTAGCTGCAGTTACTCCCTTGGAACTGATCACTCCCTAGTGATCAGTTGATCTCCCTTGGAAACAATAGGGTTGCCAAGAGCTACATTGGAGAGGAACTGATTGCAAACTCGTTGCACTTTTTGATCAAAATGAATAGCATTGCATCTTGATTGGTTTACCGTGGCACTTGTACTTTTCTAAATAAGAGCAATGGTTTGATAATAAAAGAATTATTCAGGCAAAATCGACAATATTTTAAGAACCCTGACAACTGATCCTGGTAAAACTACAAATAAAACTGAATTCAGAATAGAGGTCACACAATGAGCAGTTGATGCTGAATTCTTTACTTTTATTTATTTATCTGTTTGTTTGTTTTTCAGGTCTGTGCTCACTTGAGTTGATTCACTCTCACAATGAGTTCCTTCCAGGACATATTCTCCACAATCCTCAGGATTTTTCTCTCCGTACTATTAAAGTTCTTCTTTCTCAGTTATTACAGTCTCTTTCTGGCTGAGACCCTCTTTCATTCTTCTTGAAGGACCCTTTTAAAAAACCAAATGCAAGAGCAAAGCTGCTTACTATTCATGTTCACTAAGAGAGTTGCTCCTAGTAACCCTTTACTTTCAAAAACAAAAAAAATCAATATATAACAAATTGATTTCAGCAAGAGCACGTTAATGGGGTAAGAAGTAGTGGTTAATAGGGTAAGAAGTAGAGCTGCTGTTGATAAAACATGTTCTGTTTGCAAGCCCTTGCACTGGGTTATGGTGAAGCATACATGAGGGTTTGAACGGAGCTTTGATGAGAACTTGGACCCCATGGTTAGTAAGATAATGAAAAAGGAGGAATATTTTCTAGGCAATTACAGAAGAAATCACCTACTGTGTCCAGGTCTGGAGCCCCCAGGACAAGCAAGACAGGGAGCTGTTGGAGAGGGTGCAGAGGAGCCACAGAGATGATCAGGGGCTGCAGCACCTCCACTACAAAGACAGGCTGAGGGAGCTGGGCTTGTTCAGCCTGGAGAAAAGAAGGCTGCAGGGTGGCCTCATTGCAGCCTGCAGTACCTAAAGGGAGCCTACAGACAGGAGGGGAGTCAACTCCTGAAAAGGGTGGATAACAGCAGGATGAGGGGAAATGGTTTGATGTTGAGGGAGGGCAGATTGAGGTTGGATGTCAGGGGGAATTTCTGTGCTAGGAGAGCAGTGAGGTGCTGGAACAGCTGCCCAGAGAGGCTGTGGATGCCCTGTCCATCCCTGGAGGTGTTCAAGGCCAGGTTGGATGGGGCCCTGGGCAGCCTGGGCTGGTATTAAATATGGAGGTTGGAGGCCCTGCATGTGGCAGGGGTGTTAGAGATTCATGGTCCTTGAGGTCCCTTCCAACCCCGTGATTCTGTGATACTTATTTATCCTGTTTATGAATACCCTGACTTCAGCTCTACTTCTTACCCCATTAACATGCTCTTGCTGAAATCAATATGCTTACAGGGGACTTTACATCAAGCACTGTACTGCAAAAGGTCTACAACTGCTTTCTTCTGGGAAAACTTGGAGCACATCAGGATGGAGAATTTTGAACAGATGAACAAATGTCAGATATTTACCTCTTTTACTGCACAAAGGATGGTTTTATTTTATTTTATGGATAATGTTTCCCAAGTAGGCACTTATGGTTTAATGCAAAACAAAGGATGAAGAAGGGATGACAGAATGGCTCCTCAAGATGGTATGTATGGGGTTCAAGGGATCTGTTGCAGACTCAGCACTGAGGTACATGCAGCAGGGGCAGATACCAAATGTAGGCTCCAGGTATTGGAAAACAGAGGTGTACAGTGACTGGTCAGTCACAGGTCTGACCCTTCAGTGCAGACCTCTGTTTGGTAACACTATTTAGTCATCTCTCTCCGTTTGTAACTACTTATTTCAGCAGTGAAGTCAGGAGTGAATCAATTTTTACATTGAATGAGACAGCTAATGCTTATCTGGTTTGACTTACAGTGGGTGAGAGAGAGATGAGGAATCAGAAAATTGTCATAACTAGATTGTCAATATGAGGGACAGTCAGCTCTCAATTGTGCCATTGCTTTATGAAGAAGGGAAACTACACTGCATGCAGAAGGATGAGGTAAGTATGAATATTTGAACCAGTCTGGCTGTAGCTGAAATGAATTTAGCAAAGGCTTTTTTATAGCTAAAATCCTGACAAGGTTTTGGTTACACTTGTCAAGGCACAGGTTTCTTTTGCAGTACCACATTAACGTAGGGGCTCAGTGGTGGTATGAGGAGTGGGAGAAGAGATTTCTGTGTGACGAAAACAAGGATGTGAGTGGGTGTGTGCCAGCCTGGCGGTGGTATGACTGCAGTTAATGTGGTCATGCCAAGCTGGTGAGCTGGTAAGAACCATCCAAGCAATGGCTGAAGCCCACACTTGTGGTCTACGCTATTGCCGATTCAGGTGTGCCCATATAGGGTGCAAACATGCCTTGGATTGCACAGCAGATCAGTCATTGTCTGGGTCAGATGCCTACCTTTTCTCTTGTTTCTGCTCTCATCTTGATTTGTTCTTCTAAGAATTCTGAAAATGCCTTCAAGTTGTGCTCCCCAGCATAGGGCACCTCCTAGAAAGAGTTTGAAGATTAGGAAAGTCTTTAACTCTGTGCACAAAGTGCTGGAAATAGCAGCATAATTAGCTGAAGGATGTCCATGTTTTAGATTGCCCGCGCTCTAGACTTTTGCTCTTAGTTTAAAAAGTGAAGGTAGAATTGCAGCAGTTAAACGTTTGCAAGATATCTGGGGAGCAGAGTATTTTGCAGGTCCAGCTGTGATATTCTAAGCTGTCTGAACATTTTTATGGAAATTCAAAATCCAGAAACGTTGTTAAAATCCACATTCCCCAGCTTGAATATTCAATAAGAGCAGCAGGAAGGGGAGCAGTTACATTACTTTTCTTACACTTCACTTTCAGTTTGGGGGCTCATGAGAGATTTTCTTAATAAGTTTAGTGAGATGCACTTTCAATTTAGGTCTTTACAATTCTCTGAATGAGTCTGAGCATCATACTCTCTTTTAAAGACGTTGGGTTTGGTGTTTTTTTTCCCAAATACTATCACTTCCAAGAGCCCTCTGGAAGTCTGAAAGTATCTTGCACAAATCCTTCAGTGAAAATTTGTAGAAGCCCATGCGTGCCACTTCAGGAATTGTCTGCTGTCAACCAGAGTCTATTTAGACTTAGGCAAATGCCTTTTCTCACCTGAGGTAATCTAGCTTCTCACAGAGACCAACAATGCTGTATTACTTTATACCAGATGCTGTTATGCCTGATTTGAGTTCAAGGGACTATAAACAGAAGACCTCCATTCCCTGGTGAATTCACTAGATGTATACATGGGTTTAATATTCCCCATGCAGTAAGGTATTCTCTTGTAATAAAAGATGTTGCAACCTTGAAGGCATCTTTTCTTTGCAAAATTAACTTTCTTGAGTAATATTATTTGATTCCTCCAGAGGCAATTAATATTCTCAGATGAGTCCTGCTCCACTCTAATGGCTGAAATAGAAATTTCTCAGACCAAAGACCTGTAAAACCAGAGAAGCAGTTGATCCTTGCTCTGGTTACTGAGGATATGTGTCAACATTTCTCATTAGAGCAATCAGTGCATAAGTGTATGTCAATGTTATTTTTCTCACTTAATCCATAGAAATAAATCAAATAACCTTAAAATCTGCCTGAAAAAATGCATGTTTTTCTCTCACATTTGGAATTGATGAAACAATGGATGAGTTGTTCATCTCACAGATGATGCCTGGTCACTCTTTCCTCCACACAGTCATTCCACTCTCTTGTTCCTCCAGCTCTGACTATAGCTGTTCTTGGAATAGAGCTACATGCCAGATTTAATTGTTCTTTGGGGGAGGAGGAAACTTTTCTGTCTCACTGAGAGTTGATTTTTGCTTTTGACATCAGAAGGTTTTTTTTATCTTATCAATAGCCATCTAGCAGTGCATCCTTATGCTAAAATCAATGGTTATTAAACAGTGAGAATGAAAAAATACCATAGAACAGAGAGCTGGTGCTTTGGAAAACTGGATCCGTGCTTAAGTGTCCAGCTACAGATAGAGGTGTCTGGGCTCATGTAGCCCCACTTAACTCCACACTACGTGACTTCAGGTTTAAAAATAAATTAATTATTAAAAAAATGAAATAAACCACCAAGTTTGCATCCATTGTGAGCAAGAGCGTCACTCATCTTTAGCTTCAGAAAAAGCTGACTTCTTAGATTGCTTAGATGGAGTGTGACTGGAAAGCAGACAGTTCATGCCCTGCAGACCAAGCAGATGCTTCTGTCAGTAGGAAGGGAGTGTGATCTCATCAGGCCAGAGTGCATGGAAGAGTCTGTGTAAGAATGTGTTCTTTAAGTAGAGAACATGATAACCCAATCTAGAAAACAGCTATGAGTCATGTTATATTAGCCACATTTCCATTGGCTTATCATGAGCTGGCTCAAACTCCTTTATTTATATTTGAGTGCTTTCTAGAGTCTTAGGATAATTATTCCATCTTTAGAATGCTACCTGCTTCCACACTAGCTTTCAATTCATCCTTGGTCTTTAAACAACATGGAGGATCAACAGGGGCCGTTAGAAGACTCGTGTTTGTTTCCAGCACTATGTTTGTGTGAAATCAGGGCTGTACCAGGTGGTGATGCTGGCCTGTAGATATATCTTGTTCCTCTTCCTTCTGCAAGTTCCTCTTTGTCTCCAAGACTTTTCTGTTGAGCTTTTCATTGGCAGAATAAGAAGCAGGGACTGTGAAGGTGGGGTAGTGCCTATACAGTATGTCATGCTCTGTGTATTGGCAAGTTGGGGTATAACTGCACCCTTTCTTTGGTTAACTTCTAAAAAGGTGTAAATGTACTTGGAAGAATTCCTGGTATAACTGCTGGTTAGGTAGAAAATGGCTGAGGCTGTTGCAGTGACTGTGTATTAATGGCTTGAGTATGTCTCCGGTTATTTATGATGGTCTGTGGCCAGCTGTCCTTTCACTGCACTAAGAAGGAAGGCTGGGATGTGGGTCAGCCACTGCAGGAAGCTGCAGGACACCTGCATTGCCCATCAAGTACAGGCTAACATCTCCAGTGCCAACAGACCTGGCATAAAAACATGGTGTACAAGCAAGAACTTCAGATCTCAAACAAACTTTGTATTTTAAGTCTGAAAAAATCCCTTAATGGCTACTGAAAGATATTACTGATTTTTTTACAATCTGGCATTTATTATGAGAATTTCATGGATTTCTGCTCTCCTGTTTAAAGACAAAGCACAATGTGAGTGTGCAGGACTATAGTTCAATTCATTAGAAGATGGGCATGCACATCTGAGAGCAAAATATCTCCCTAAAAGATTAAATGAGAACATGAGCAAATGTCTTCAAATTTAATTTAAGTTTGGGACTAAAAAGAAAAATGAAAAGCTTAGTAATGTCTTAATTATAGCGGTATCTCAGAATTTAATTTATTTTGGCTTCAGATGTATTTTATTTTTAATGAGATTGTATATGTAGATGGAGGAATATAACTACTTGTCTAATATTTTTCTTTCTTTCAGCTGTAGCATTTTCTGATTATTCTGTAACATGGCATTAGGTAGCATATTCTGAAGATCATTAGTCTTGACAACAAATATTTCTTCCCTACTGAGACTGAATGAAATAAAATTACTGGCAGAACTGCACAGGAGTAAGTCTTGAGAGCTGAATGTTGTGAAAATATAGAGGATGTGACAAGTGATAGCAGTATTTTACAGCCTAGTCATAGCTGCTTCAGAGTTGTTCTGTGACTGTCTGCCTCTTGCCATGGTTTGAAGAAAGGCCTGTAGTGACGAGGAGTCTGGCTCTCATGATGAGGAGTTTGCTCTGAGGTGAGGCTGTTGATAGAACCCAGATGGGAGGCTGCTAAACAGCAGAGAATAAGGCAGTAGTGAGGTCCCAGATGGCGAATAGAGCGAAGGCTCTTGCTACAACTTCACGTTTCAGAGACAGTGGAAGAGTTTCCCCTTTAATTCAGATTCTTGTTCATAATGAGCTCAGTGTTGAGTAGATAAAGAACAAAGCCTTGCTTAAAGGATGTGCTTCTATCCGACATGCACACACAGTCCCCCATCAGCATGCAGCTGTGCCATCCCCTCAAGTTTCTCACCTGGATATCGGGTCCAGCAGGAAAGAGTCTGAAGAAGGGATAGCGATCCATCACAACTGACAGGACATCGTTTGCTGTGACATCTATCTTTGCAATGATTACGTCCTTGTGGCTTTGATATTTCTCTCCTAGCTCATCCCAGATTGGCAGAAGTTTTCTGCAATCATAGGACCAAGGGGCATCTGCAAATGTAAAAGCATGCAGTCTGCTGTAAGAGCATGTCCTGGTTTGCTGAGTGGAATCTGCTAATTCTGTGAAAGTTAATGGGGTTTTATGATTTCTCTTGTGGTCCCTTTCTACTCGAAACCATCCATTTTCTATAAGTCTTGATGTAGTGATAACCAACCTAAGGTTATTACTATCACTATCTCTAAGGCAGCAGCACTGCTTCTTAGATCCTTATTATTGTAACACACAGCACTTGCCATATGACTTTGCTGGAGAAGCATGGCAGATAACCAGTGCAACCCAAGAAACATTGTTCCCATGATGAGTTACTTGCCAGAGGCACAAAATGCTTTACACATATTAAAATGTCTCCAGACGTAATAAAATTAAATGTGTCCATAAACTATACTATAGTTGTACTGAAAAGGAGGAGATTGAGGTATGGTGGTGCTTTGTCTCCAAGCAGTGCACATTTAACAGGTTAACAAAAAGGCATACTGCTGAGAATGCCCTTAAATAGCCACAGATTTTCCATCAAGAGAAGAGTGGTCATGATCAGATTAGATGGAATTAAAAGGATTGCATGATTGTGCTACCGTTAAGAATTTGCTAGTATTATGCTGAATGCTGTATTTATACTAATGCTGTATGTTTGCTCTGCTGAACAAATTAAGGCAGTGTAATCTCTGCTGGCTGGTATAGGGTAGGGCAGCAGTTTCCTGCAGAGAAAGGTTGACAAGGAATGCCACTTTACTTGCAGACAGAGAAGGGAAAGGAGTTAGAGTTGCTAAACTACAGCTCTTTGGGATGCAATACTACAGCACTGCATCCAGACAACCTTACTTAACTCCCTTCTCTCCTTGGAAGACAGCCAGACTCATACTGTACAGAATATTATAATGTTCCATTGTACAGCATGAGATCCTAGTGTCCCTTTCCTTCCAGGCAGAGATTTGAAATTGCTTTGACAAAACCTTATTGAAGGGACTGAATGTTTCTCATTGCTGCTCTAAGTCACCAAAGGTAGTGCAGCATTTTCATAGGACAAAATTTTTTAAGTGCTTTCATCAGACATCACAAATTTGCTCAGCATGACTTCTGTAAAGTGCAAAGACCAGTTTGGTATGTAAGAATGAGCTTTCTTTTTTCATTTCCAATGGATCACGTTAAAGCAATCTGAATACAATGACACTTACAAAACATGACAAACACAGTCGTGGTCCTATTGAAGACAATCCTGTTGAAATTCTTCCCAACGAGCACTTTGACAGGCTTCTTATCCCAGTCTTTGGCAATTTCTTCACTAGAGAGATGTAACTAAGCAGAAACAAACACTGCTGTGAAAGTGCAGGGAGCATCGAGGAACTATACTCCAGATCAAGTTATTGTGAGACAAGTGGGATCACCCTCTGCTTGCTGTCCTCTTCCACCTAATGCTATTTTTTTGCTATCTCTAAATCCTCTCTTGCCTTCTCATGCTACTCTCTGCTCTGCCCTCAGCAGGGAACTGGTATCTCACACCCCTGTATAGTTGGCAGGCAGAATTATGTGTCCCTCTCTTGAATACAGACAGTCTGCAAATCACTTTTGGGAACATATTTGTATTGCAATGTGTTATCCTGGATGCTTGCTGCCCACCGTTCATTGGCTAGAATGCTGAAAAGCTTACCCCCTTATTGGCATTAAAACTAAGTGATCATAATGGTCCTTTTCAACCTAGTCCATTTTATGATTCTATGATTCTATTGAGGGCTCTCAAAATTAAGTAAAACACATAAAAAGGTGAGTATTGCCTATATTTTTCTTCTGCTGCTGATCACAGCCTCCACGTGACTCCTTCAATTTCCAGCATATAGCCTGGCAATTTCCTTTCTTTTAGACCAATTAGAAGAATGTCACGCTCTCCTCTCAGGAGCTGTTCCATAGCATGTGTTTGCCACAAAAGCAGGTCTTTGTGGAGGAGATTTCTGCAGCTCTTCTGTCCCTCCACCTGCCTCAAGATTGAAAATAGGATCTACTGCTCAAATTTTTGAAGTCAATTTACTCTGACTTTACTCACCTCATCACTCCTTGTGATGAAAATGAAAGTAAATAACCCTGAAGAGCACTAAAGAAGGAAAATGTTTTCATGTATTTTCCATGTGAGTATGGAGGATGATGCTTCATTATGACAAAAAATACTGTGTTTACCACTGGGAGTGATTCATCCTGTCAAAATTCACTCTGCTAGACTCTGCTAAATTCTGTTTTACTGTGAAATTGACAATTTTCTATTTGCTGAACTTCAAATTCCTTTGCAATCATTAGTGAAATTTCATTTCTCCCAACCAAGAGAACAGATTTTCTCCACGATTACTGGAAAGATGGAAGCACAGGGAGTCTTAAAGCACTAAAACATCAGCTTGCATCAACTGAAAAATTGCATCCTGAATAATTTGCCCATTTTTCAGGTAGGAGAACGGGAGAGCTTTGTAATCCCCCTCTGTTTTAAATACAGAGGAATGTTCTTTCAGTAATTATCAGTGAATGCACAAGTAAGTTAATCAGTTGATAATCAGAAAAGCACACTGTTCTAATACTAACTTTGCAAATCTGTTTTAGTTGGTGTAGCAGAGGGGCATCTCATTAGTGATGGACATACCTTTGCTTTTCCATCCAGGTAGCTCTGGCAAAAATGTCTTATGTTCTCCGTAGTCACCTCATCTGCAGGCATTTTGTACTTTGCTTGGCTTGTCAGATTTAGGATTCTCACAGCAGGAACATCAACGTCCCTGATGCGAAAATACTCAAAAATGCGTCCATTTCTTGTTTCATTAGTATTCACCACCACAAACATTATCTGATAATAAAGAGAGCCAAACATCTGGTTGAGTCTTACAGCTTTCTTTTAGCCGTTTTAGAGAAGTGCAGCTTGGCAGCGGGTTTGGACCTAACCTTAAATGAAAGCAATTTTGTAGAACCCTTTTTTGGTCTCAGCCCAAAAGCCAGCAGCTCTGTGAACATTTTCGTACCTTGATCCAAGTTAAGAAATGGCAAAACAGCCAAAATGAATGGAAATTTCCCTTCTGCCTTTTCACACTGGTTTGCTACCACTTATTTTAGAAACACTTCTAAATTACCCCTTAAAGTTCTTAATAGGTCTTCACAGGACAGAATTGCTGGAACACATGTCATGCATGTGTCTTTTTGAATACTCATGTGCGCTCTTCTATTACAAGGCAATTTATACTTCTTCAATCTTTAGCACAGTTAAAGCAGAAGTAGCACTAGGCTGGCTGGCAATAGAAACTGAAATACCTCTGTGTAAGACTGCTCTTATCTGTAAATATACATATGCAAACACTTGTGCACTGCACACAAAGCCATACAGATGCCTTGCAGTGTTTCTCAGGCTTTGTAGCTGGAACCATCTCTTGCTGCAGGCAATGCCCTGAGATCTTTCAGCCATTTCTGGGTGCAGGCAGAAATTGCCAGAAGCTTGCTAAAGCCAGCTTTGGTTGGAAATTGCTCCGAGAAAGTTGTATGTGTAAAATCAGAAGCCAGTTGAGTGGGAGCAGCTGGAATTAGTGTTGGTTTCTGTGATCTTTCTGTTTTGAAGAATCGTTTTGAAGTGACATTTATTCTTTGAATTTCTCAGATAATTCTATTAAGGGCCCAAGCTGAAAAATAGTTGCTGAAATGGTTTTTAAAGGGCTTAGTAGACCTAAAGACAGAGTGGCATCAGTGTACTTTTGCAAACACCAATGGTGTTTTTCCACTGATCTTTTAGCATTTGTGTTTGTGTTGTAGGATTCAGTATTACAAACCTTCCCCCTAAATTCTGCAGCAGCAGACTTGTAGTTTTCATAAGTTGTGCTGAATGTCTTTGAGTTCGTTGGGATGAACAGCAGGATGTGGTTTTCAACAGGGACATCAAAAATCTTCACAGATGTCTGGAAAACAACACTCAACATCTGTTCCATTCCTCTTAAGTAGAGCAGGGAATCAGAGGCTCAGAGTATCAGTGTCATTCAGTTCTGATATTGCAAATTTTACTTCTCAAGGCTCCATTCCCAATAATTTCCATAACCCTGAGATTGCTTTCATTGTTTTAGAGAAGATAAAGTGAGAAGAATCAGTAGCTCCTGAATATTTTCTATATTTCAGTAAAAACCTCATTGGTATTCATGGATTTTACAGTCAGAAGGGAGACTCTGTCCTCCTGTGTAACACATGCTGAAGAATTAGTGCTAAAGATGTGCAGAAGTAAAAGGCAATGTTACCTAAGGAGGCCGAGGTGCAGCATCTAGAGCCAACTGGGACACTTCCCTCACTTCTGCATGCCATCAACAGCCTACATCTCCTCCTTTGCACAGAACTTTCTCATTCCACACCATGATCAGAGTTAATAGAGTACCCTCCCATGCAAGCATTTCCATGCCTTGTCTCCTCTTCCTCTTCTAGCAATGGGTGTTCCAGTGTTTCTAATTTCTCTTGGCCCAGAGGCCAGGGTTGATGCATGGGAATGGAAGGGCTGGAGACAGGGTGGAAACTGACCTTCCAACCTCCAACCCTCTGAGCTCCCTCAGAAGCCTGAGGTTTGTGCCTTCTCTGCAGGTCGGTGGTGTCTGCATGTTCAGGTGGGCTCACTGCTTGGCCAGCCCTTCCCTGTCACCTCAGGAAACATCACCTTGCTAAGAGGGATGCACCCTCTGGTCTGGATTTGACCAAGAGCTGCCTGTTGGATTTTACTGGGGTTCCTAGATATGATTAGGGCTAGCCTAGTCAAACAACATTCTCAAACACTAAGAAGCTGATCAGCTCCTTTTCTGTATGCATTCCTCTGCAGATGGTATTTGCCAGCAGAGCTCACATTGACAGCAATTGTTAGGAAGAAAGGCAACTGTTCCCTCATCCCTGAATTCTTAACACACAGAATTTATATCTGGTGGGTAGGGTTTCCTCCCTCCCCACTTCCTTCCCATTTTTTTACAGTATTATAAGAGGTGCCACAAATGATAGCTTGCAGTAAGTTGGAAATAGCACATGAAATATGTTAGCCAAATACTGTCTTCTGTTCCAGGTAATAACTTGTCAAGATATGCAAGCAGTTTCATAACATGTTGCCTGTATCAATCTGATAGCCTAAAACCTAAGAAACGTAGGGAGATTTCTCAGAGGTTGATGTGAAATGTTACTGGCTGTCCTTCTCCCATGGCTTTTGTTAACACAGTGAAAAAATACACATACCTCAAGATTATATTCAGTGACCAAATCCAAGGTAAAGGTTTTGATTATCCTTGTGAGGTCCAGTTTGTTCTGTCTGCCATCTTCAAGCACTTCATTATGCGCAGGTTTTCCCTTAGATAAATAGTGAGATTGGAGGTTGTTGGTTTTATCAACTATAGGAACAAAAGCACTGTCTTTAAGCTAAAATGTTGCCCTTGCTGTTTTCTGATCCTCGGTAAGTGAAATTCCATTGCTTGTAAAATGAATGCCATGGATTACAGAAGATTATAGCTAGAATCCAGGATAGAGCTGACAGTTTTAATTTGCTCATTAATAAACTAGCAGATCTCTTCTAACCCCATTTTTGGTCTGGCTACTTTGAGGCCTAAAGTTTGATGCTGTTACTGTATATTTGATCTTGTTGGCCACTTCTGATGTGGGCTGGAAGAAAAAGAAGGAAAAGGGAAGAGTCAGCAGAACTCTCTGAACATTACCATGTTCAGTTCATGGTGTGCATGGGTGATAGGTGAATTAGAACAGCTTCAAGTATAAACCAGGATCCTGAAGTGTGAGCAGACAGATGGAAAACATCCAGAGGTTGTTGTCTGCCTCTTCCTTATCTTTCTTGTCTGCAAATGCAATATTTTTTGTGATAAACTACTTGAATTTCAGGTAGGGATATAACCTGAAAAAATACCACACTGCCTTTCCATGTCCTCAAGCTGCCACAGCATCCTGTTGCACCTTACCTTGCTAGGCTTACACTCCTACCTTCTTAAACACAACCAGAGTGTTAGTTTGGATGCCATAATGGGCACAGATGTCCTCGCTGCTTGTCATCCCAAAAGGCATCTCTGGCACATCTTTTGCAGTCTCACGGAAAACTTCCACGCTGTCTTTGTGAAGTTCCTAATCCCAGAAAGAGTATTCATTAAGAGCTGTGTCCAGGATCCTGACAGGATGTGTAGGAGTGAGAGCTGCAAGTGATGTGGGCCCTGAAAGGCTTGTGAGGTATAGGTGAGTGCAAAAATGAGCTTGCCACAATTACATTCACAGGAAAATCTTTAGAATAGAGGAAATCATAGGAGTGCTGTGACAGCACTGCTGTGTTCACTGTTCTGGCTAGTGTTGTCTGGGCTGGGCAATATGGTTTCTGAACAGCTCCCCATCTCCTTCCTGCACTCATCTCATCTGCCCTGCACTCCCCTGGTATTGCCACACTCTGCCAAGACTTCTCCAGACGGGGAAGGATCGAGCTAGCAGCTGCTCCCCTGCTCCAGCTCTGCTGCACAGCTGCACAAAGAGCTGCATGGACAAGAAAGGAGGGCTGCCTGCTTGCAGGAGGACCTGATGGATGTGTCTGGGGCTTTGACTGAGTGCTCCTCAAAGCAGGCATCTTGACTCCTACATCTGTCAAACAGTCACCATTCTGTCCACCCTCGAACTAGTAGTCAATAAGCACGATGAAAGGCAGCAGCTCTTTCGGGTATGATTTAATCAGACAATTATTTCACGCTGGATTAATAGCAATTTATATGCTGAGATCTCCCAACACATTTTGGCACTCACATCTGTGAGCAATCTGTGAGTAACAGAAGGCCAAATGCAGCTCTTTATTTACTTGGACACCACTGCATTAGTTTCTACCCCCAGCATTTCTGACATGGCCTCACTCATGATAGTGCTCATCTACTGTTTTTTCAGGTAAATTGTGGAGTCCAGTCAGACACATCTGCAGGCACTATCTGCTATCAGCCTTTTGCAGGAGACTCTCCAGCATCACTGCCATACCAAAAGCATCTCAATCTGATCCAGCACTGGAAAACTGCCCTTCTCCATACATGGCTGTGAGCACATTGCTGCAAAGCAAATTCTGGGCTTTGTGAGCATTTTCACAGTTTCTCCTATTATGCCATTTGTGTTCACCACCTCTGTTACTCTGGGCAATTTGGTAATGAATCCTACTTTCCTCAGCCATAAAACATGGTCTGTCTGCTGTAGCCAGCACATTTGGGACCTTATCAGTACAGGTATGAGTCCAGACATCGTGCCTTGAACTAGGCAGAAAGTTACCAGAATAAAAGTCTCTTTAGAGCATTGAATGTTTCAGATAGTGAAGGTTTCAAAGACACAATGAAAAAGCAGAATTAAAAAACCTACCCCTTTTGTACTGACCTCTGAGTGCTTTGACAGCTCATATTTACTTTACACTATTTGGCTATTGCTCTGCATCGTTCAGTCCCAAATCCTGAGGACCTTATTCTACTCTGGAAAGTAGTAGGATTTTACCTGAGAAAGGACTGCATGAGTTGGATCATACACAGCGCAATAATTTGACTTCCTATTCCCTGCAGATTTCCTAGCTGGCAGAAGTTAAATAAACTGCTAATGAGTTACCGATGGAGCTCTTTTCTACTCCTCAAATGGAAAGACAAGTAAAAGGCATTCCGGCACATTTGATGGTATTTATCACCTTTTCTAGGGATTTGAGCATGAAAGGAGCTTTCCTTCTCCTTGCCAAATATTCACATCTGTGCTTTACACCATCTTTGAATAGAAATGCTGTGATTAGTTGTTGTGGTTTTGACTGGCACAGAGTTTAATTTTCTTTGTAGAGGCTCACACTGTTGTGTTTTGGGTTTTTGATGATGGTGGTGATAGTACCCCACTGCTTTTGTTTTTGCAAAGCAGTGCTTCTGCAATGTTGAGCACTTTATGCTTCTTGTGCTGCCCTGCCCTGCCAGGGAGGAGGCTGGAGGGTACAAAAAGTCTTTCAGGAAGTTCTGGGCCTTTTGGATGTGTGAGATTTGGTGGCAGTGGAAAACAACATAACCCTAACAGATCAGAAGGGAAACCAGCCTTCTGAGCTCTCCAGTGAATTACCTTAAAAAAGCCAATCACTGCCAAATCGTCAGCATTTATGATGGCTTCGACCTGATCGGTGGAGTTGATTAAAACTGTGCTGGGTCCTGTTCGTCTTTTGAGCCATGTGATAAAAGCTGAAGCCTGTCTGACTCCTGTGGCAGGAAAAAAAAAGAATTAAAGTGAGCTTCAAAATGAATGAGACATCTCTGAGCAATCAAGACAGAAGCAGTGGAAGATGGGAAGGATGCTGTACTTAGACTCCTTAGGACTGAGGTCGATGCTGATTCAAACCCAACTTCAGGATCCCGTCACCACTGTAATTACTGCCAGCTCTAGAAGATCAGCAGTGATGAGCAGTGTTTTGTGGGGCCTCTGCACACAACTGCGTCCAGTTAATTGCTTGAGTGTAGAGATGAGACAAATCAGACAACTAGAAAACCTGTTCTGCAGAGTTTCATGTGCCCACAAGTGAATCAAAATCATAATAAGCTATAAAGAGCTATCGACCTGAGGTTTAATCCAAAATGTCTTCAAACCAATTGCAGATTTTATTGGATTGGCTATTCAATTGAGTTAGGTGTCAAAATTGTTCCTTTGCTGCTGCAGAAAGGATCTAATAGGTACAGAGACATGATGAAACTCCCCAGTGGTACTGCAGCTTCACTTTGTCTTAGATATGAGGAACAAAGCTGAAAAATGTCAAAGTTGTCCTTAAATTTGGCAGCATTCCATCTTTGGGGTTCTAAATTAACATTACTGTGTTCATAAGTTCATACTCAGTCCAGTTATTCGGTAAATTCTTCTCAGGTTTTCAGGAGTTTTAGAAATCCTAAATCTCTTTTAAAATAGTTTCTAGTTATTGTGTTTTCTAAGGAAATGGAGCCATAAGTTGAGGCTCTCAGCCATAAAGTAACCCCTTCATCTCTGTGAGCCTGGCATCCTTTTTGGATTGGAACAAAAGTCCAGCAAAGGGTTAATGAAAACTGTACATGAAAATGTCTGCATGTGTTATGCTGCAAAGTGCCAGAGTCGAGATGTGCTGTACAAGTGGATAATCAAAGATGCAAGTCCTAGAGCTGGGTATTTTAACAATACGGCAAGGTCAAAATTGAGTCATACCATTTTACTGCCATCAAGTCATTTTGCAGCAGGCTGCACTGCAACTAGTTTAAAATATGGGGTTTTTGTTGGTGGTGGTGATGGGGTTTTTTTGTTGTCATTGGATTTTTTTAAGGCCAAGCTGGCAGACATCGGCTGTTAAGGTGTGCAGGCTGCAGAGCAAAGCACAGAGCACTGCCTAGTGGCCACACAGGGCTTAGCTTCTATCCCCATGCAGAGCTGGGCTCTTGCAGCTTTCTGTCAGCTAAATAACCTCTCAGCAGGCTTTTCATATGCAGAGTATTCCTGCTGCTGTTCTACACGGCCTGTGCAGTTGTTTCTTCTAGGCAAATTCTGGCCTTGGAGTTGTAAATAAAGATTTCTGCAATGCCTAGGATTTGCTTGAGGATTCTTAGTGTTTACAGTTACACTGGCTAGGTAAGCTTTCACTAGCAATTGTCCAAGCAAATCAACAAAACGTGATTTAAGTCATTATAAGCAGTATATGTCTCAGAACAGTCAGCACTGCATTATGCAGATTGCAGGGGAGAAGCAGTTTGCTAACTCCTTGTGTCCTGCTGGGAGGTGTCTCTTAAACAGCAGCTCTGGGCTGAAGGATGGCTGTGTGCATCTCGTGTTGCCGTGCTCTGTGTTCTCTGGCTCTCTCAAGCACGCTTGACAAGTTAGTTTACCAGTTTAAAAAATGTTTTCAAGTCAGCCCTAGAAACTCAAGTCGGAGCTTTCACTCTCATGTATCAGCACCTCCAATACAAGTTCTCTATGGCAAACTGTGATTTCAGTGGCATTTGTGCAGGAGCTGTTTGCACAAGTGTAGATTACGGGAACGTGGATATGAAATTCAATAGCTGATGTACAAGGAGAAGCAAGTTACTAAAAATACTCCAGGTCAGCTTTCAGCAGAGCAGCCACAGGGGCTCAGGAGTTGAAGAAATCTGAGCACTCCGTTGTGTACAGGCTCAGAAACAAACTTCACAATCATTTTTTAAACTTGTGACTTAAGTGTATTTGCTCAGAGCACAAATGGAGGCTTAGGCAAGTCATGACATTGTTGCTAACTCTATAGAATTAGCCATTTTTAGGAAGAAAAACTAAAGGGGAAGGGGAAGGAGAAGGGGAAGGGGAAAGGGAAGGGGAAGGGGAAGGGGAAGGGGAAGGGGAAGGGGAAGGGGAA